TATGGCTAATGAATGATTATGTTTAGTGATTTGTATATCGTTCAAGAGAAAATTGTACATTTTAAACCAAATAATAGAAACCCTAAGTTTGTGTAGAGGATAGAGATATACATCTAACCCAAGTGACTCATTGAGCTATTTTCACAAATATTTTGTGCGATTATTTGGTTTTAATCGACATAGAGATATAGTAGGTTAAACCAATCAATTATGATTAATTTCGCTTGACAGAGGTAATTAACTAAAATTGAAAAATCGAGTCTAACATCGTAAATGAGTAGCTTGTTAATTGGCTTGTGGAAAAATTAATTAGTCAGCGGTTAAGCGAAACCATGAATCCCAACCACGTTTGCTTTCGAAATTTCTAAATTTTTTATATTTTCATATTTTGTAGGTTTTTAGTTAATTTCCTTATTTCAAAATCATATTTTTAATTGTGTGTTTATTTTTATTGTTAAAATTAAATTAATTAAGGTTGTGTAATATAAAGTATATATTTATCGAGAGATCGATAATTCGGACTCAAAAGGTACACTTTATTACTTGAACGTGATCCGTGCACTTGCATCATGTAGTATTTTAGCGAACAAAGAACAAGTGTTAAGTTTGTACTAGGCACAATTCGTTTTATACAATCATCGTATAAATGTTTTGATCGCTAATATAATGCATAAGCAACCAGAAAAATGGTCCAGTAATTCTTTTCTATCGTTGACCAATAGTTTTGTCTCTAATCTAGCACAATAATGGAATACTTCTAGGCATTTTTTTTAATTTACTCAACGTTGACTAGAAGTACTACAAATCTCTTAGTCGTTTTATTTGTTGATATGCACTTATTCGGCTTCTATTCATATTCTATTATATGTAAATTAAGCGAATATCTACATAATCTACTTAATTTGTGTAAATTATGTTAATTGTGGAAAAAAAAAATTAACTTGGTTACAATTTGTGGGAAAAAAAGTTACTTGGAGTTCAATTAGAGTTTATTAGAAGCAATTGATGATTAACTGGATTACAAGTTATCAATTAGACATATTAATTGAGCATTCGGTAGTTTTGGGAGTTCAATTCGACATTTGAAAAGTTTGGAGATTAAATTGTAAACTTTTGAAACTTGCATCGGCTCAATTATTAATGGTTTTGGAATGATGATGACTTAATAGCAAATACTAGAAGACGAAGGACTAGAATTACATGAGAAAATGAGTCCAATTAAAAATGAAATAGTTTCCTTCTTCTTCTCGAACTCTATGTAAAAACCAATTTGAACAATAATTTTACATAAATCCAAGTTTTAAATGTATGTCTTAGTCCAACAATTAAAAGAGGCTTGTAGAGTCTCATTATATACATATATTTAAGTCTAAGCTTGGGGATTTATTGTACAAATATTATACAAGCCAAAGAGGCATTCTGAAACCAGAAAATAATCAAAATAGAAAAAAAATATATAATAATAAAGAAAGTCATACCAATCACTAGAAAAGAGAGCTCAAAAGGAGGAAAGAATAAAAAAAAATCAATTAAAAAGCTAAAGGTGCACTTGGTTTGCGTTTCCGTTTTCCGTTTTCATTTTTGAAAACAGAAAACGTTTTCTACTTTGAGGGATTATTTTTTAATTACAGAAAAAGAGTTTGATTTGTCATTTTGAAAAACGGTGTTTCTGAACAGAAAATTAGAAAATGCATTTGATTTAAAATTTTTAGAAATTGTTTTATAACATTTATTCAATTAAAATGATTATTTAGCAAAAATAATAATTTTATGTTAATATATTATCAGATAATATATATTATAAACTTGGCGAATTTAGTATTTTTTCTTACTACAAAAATAAAATAATAAATAATAAATGTTTAAAAATTGTTTTATGACATTTATTCAATTAATTTGATTATTTAGTAAAATATAATAATTTTATGCTAATTTATTACCAAATAATAAATATATTTTTTAAACTTGGTAAATTTATTATTTTTTGTTGCTACAAAAATAAAATAATAAATGTTCAAAAATTGTTTTATAACATTTATTCAATAATTTCATTATTTAGTAAAACATAATAATTTTATACTAATATATTACCAAATAATATATATTTTAAATTTGGTGAATTTACTATTTTAAAACTACTGCTGAGCATCCCTTAAAAGAGAGAGAGAAAAAAAAAAAAAAAGGAGGGGCATGTTTTGAGTGTTTCCGCGTTTTGAGATTTTTAATTGAAATTTTTTTCCTTGTTTTCGAAAATGTATTTTTGGAAACGAGTGACCAAATACGTTTTAGGGGTTTTTGAAAATTAAAAACAGAAAACGGCAAACCAAACGCCCCCTAAGGTTTCAAGGTTTTTACGAAAAGGTGGAATCTTAGTTCAATATCTTCATATTTTTCCCATTTTTCCTTAAATTTGCTAATGTACTCTAATTGTTTATTGTTATTCTTCTCTCATGATGTATAATTAAGTAATTAGTTAGAATAAACGATTGTAACTCAATTTTAATTAAAAAATTTAAATCTTCAATTGATGTTGTGAATAATTTTTATTTTTATTTTTATTTTTAATGCTTTGAATAAATTAGTCACTAATTCATTGATTTATGAGCGATAATTATGTCGAGAGGCTAATTATTTATTTAGACCACATAGTAAAAGTCGGTAATTAGTATAATAATGTAGAGAGGCATTCTAATTAGCGTGATCGTTACATGAATTCTTAGAGCTTTAAGGCATTTAATTAAGATTCATCCAAATTCATATAGAGTCAAAGATATATGAATTCGACTTAGTTGAATAGTTACAATGAACTCGAGAGGCAAAAGAATACGACCGAGTACACAATTAATTATTATGAAAATTAGTGGTTGAGATTAACGAAATAGATACGATGAACTCGTGAGTCGTAACACTTAAATCATCATATAAAAAAATTCACATTTATTGTTTTAGTATATTTAAAATAAAAAACCACAAAAGAAAATAAGTACTTTTATTTTATTTCGATCAAATTGAAGCTAGGAATAATTTAACCAACGATTAGATAGTAGTTTTCGTGGGAATAATAATTCAAATAATTGGATGTACTTTATTAATTGTTACAATAGGTACACTTGGAATATAAAATTGACAACGTTTGTGTATGAATTAAGTATTACTATCTCAAGAATTGGAGATAGCTCACGTGAATATAAGTATTTTTCCTCTTGATCGTACATATCCTGGAGCTGTGGTTGATTATAAATGTTAAGTGTTCTAAAATGCGAGTATATACATGGATTGAGTAAAGTCAAGTGTTCTAAAATGTACGCAAATGCTTGGAGATTTTTGAAGCGCCCTGCATATGGGTATGCGAGTAATAATGCGATCAACTTATTTCATTGACCGCATATATGCACGCTTAAATGCAAAAATGCTCACGCATATGTGTTACAAATTGTGTCCAAATTAGTCTACCAAAGTCTAACCCATCTTTACCCAAAAAAAAAAAAAAAAAAAAAAAAAAAAGGGAAAATTGAGCCTAACGAACTTCAAATTAGCCCAAATCAACCAAACCCATGAATTATATACACCAATCTGTGAGATTTTGATGTTTAAAAGAAAAATTCTTAGAGTTACAAACTATCTATACCGACTTGATAATGCTTCTTATGACTAATTAAATAATTATGTTGATGCATTTTATTTTTTACTTCGGTAGTGATTTGATAACTTAAATTAGTATACTATTCAGCTTCATTTTTGTATAGGTACACACCAAGAAGAGCCGACTAGATGCCACAAGGATGAACAATCTAGTTTATGTTCAATTTAATGCAATGTTGATGAACAAAAGGGGAAGAATGATAAATTAGAAACTTTACTAGCAAGTGATGTTAGTAATACATAATCTTGGATTGTTGATGGTTGTGACAATGAGGAGAATATTGACAATAATATCTTACATCTGCAAGAGATAATAAAATTCTAGAATCGAAACAAGGAAGTCCGATGAAGATGATTTTGCATCAGATGACACGAAAGATGACTTTGATGAAGAATATGAGATTAATTGAAATCCGATAAGAGCTAAACAAAAATTAGGATTTTTTTAAGTCGATGTTTGTGTCTAATCTAATTATAGGTATTTTTTACTAAATAATTGTAGTATTTATGACTAAAGCAATATGTTTTTTGTTGAAAACATGAAGAATATGTATAAAGTTCAAAGAATGCATTAGTTTATTTATTTATTAGTTTAATATATTAAAAACTGAAAAATGCATAAGTATGCATATTGCTAGTATGTTTCGCATAGACACGAATATACTTGTAATGATTGATATTCTATGAAAATGCATTGTCACACATTACGCATTTTATAATCTCGAGTAAGTCACACAACTGTTTACATAGCAACTGGATTCAACCAAATCTCTTTTCTACATTTTTTACAATTTCAGTACTTTCCCTTTTGTGTTCCACAATTCTTTATCTTGAATCTGGACCAAGGTTTAACATCAAACCTCCTTATATTTAGCAAAGCATCATAAGATAATCTAAATCACCTCTAATTATCTCAATTGTTAATACTAGTGGAATTAGTAATGATTGCGTCTCCCAATGAAAAGAGAAAAATATGAAAAGTACATGAGAAAAAAGATTATAAAATTGTACATGTGGCTTTCACCCCTAGTATATTTTTCATTATTTGTCCATTAAAATGAAAAATATGATCGTTATCCATCACATCAAATCACCATTTTTAATTATATCTTGTGTAGGGCTCGTAACGATTATATTTTTCATTCTCATTTTTAGTGTACCAATCTCAAAAATCATTTTTACTTCTAACTTCAATCCTCCGGAAACTGTGATTACAAACGAAAATATTGTTAAAAATAAAAACTTGAAAAAATGAAGATAAGTGCTACAGCAACAGGATTAACTATAGTACCTTGCATGTCTAAGTATGATAATTGAACGCCGCCGAACAAAATTAAAATCTTTTTATATTTTTTCTGGTCGAACATCATTTAAATGATTAATAACTTTTTGTATTTTCTATCATGATTGAAAATGTAATTACAAGCCAAATCATTGCAAACTCACATTACTAAAAATTATTATTATACAGAACACTGAAATTTTATAGATCGATTGTTTTTTGTATCAGCTTTTCTTCTTGGTGAAACTTAATTTGCTTTGCAATGAAATCCTCAATGGCTCTTTGAAACTCCTCATTACTTAGTTCATCAACCACGACAGTCTCATCCAGAACTTCGCCGGGGTTCACAACTTTCCGGCACTTATCCCTCTCCGATGGCCGGAGTTTCTTTTCGCAAATATCCTCGCCCAAATTTTCTTCTTTCTTCCAAGTCTCCGACTGACTCCTCCGATCAATATTTGTTCTCACTTCGTAAATGCTCTGTTTATCTTGGTACAAAATTTCCTCCGGTTCTGGAGCCTGAGAAACACATTCTTGACTGAACTGCGTGCTGTCATCGCTGTTTTTGATGAATTCCTCGTAGAACTCCATGTGGGTTTCATTTCTTTTATGAGAATATTGTGGAAAGAGAAGGCCGGACTTGAAGAGAAGAGTTAAGACAATTATATTGCCGAAAAGGAAAAGAAAGAAAGGGCTGATTACGAAGTTTACAAGTTGCCAGAAGTACTGGCCGTAGTTTTGGATGGCAAATAGCAAGCGAGTTGAGACCCAGGAGAGGGAAGTGAGAATCAGATAGAGCTCTAACATACGAAAAAGCTTTCGAAGGTGATGGAATCGTGGCATTGTGTTCGACTTCATGGGGTTCGAATATTCAAACTCGAAAACGTCCATTTTCAATATGTTGAAAAGTTAAGAAGGATTGGAAATGTGAAATTTCATAGAGCTGGAAAGATTTTTTTTTGAGTGAGATGAGGAGGATAGCCATGAGCTCTTTGTGGGTGTGGCTTTTGTTTTCTACTTTCTGAGGGGAGAGTTTTAATTTTGGCTTCCACTTAGCCCCAGTTTGACGCCTATTATTTGGGAAATTAAAGTGTTTTAAATAGTATTTATTGAAAAATGTGTAATTAAAAAGTAAAGAAACTTTATTATTTTGTTTGTAAAATATTTTATTATGTGAATGTGGTGGATAATCATACTATAGCAAACAATTTAAATTTTTAAAGATTGTCAAACAAACACTTAGCCCCCATTTTTTTTCAAATTTTAATATTTGAAATAGTGTTTTTTGTTTTTAAGAATGTGTGGTTGAAAAAAAAAATGAAAAGTTTTCGATTTACGTGTAATATTATTTTATGAAAGATTGTGAGGTTGAAAATAAAAAAGAAGGAAAAAAAGGGGGGGCCAAACTGTGTGAATTGCTTAGATATATCGATTGGGTTGAGATGACTTAATTGAAAAAGAGGGACATGACTAGGATTTTTTGACGGGTTACATCAAATCAATTTTGTAAAAATTTATTGACACAAGTTGTTAGTTAAGTCTAAAATAAGCACAACTCACATTTTCAATAAGCTACATAGCATTGGCTTGTTGCGCCTTCTCCTTGCATACTTGTACTATTTCAATGTACGAAATAATACAGTTCATATAGTCGATCATCAGCAAATCAAATACATATGTTGTGTTTCAGAGTGAAGCAAGTTGTAAAAACTATATAATTCCTTTTGAATTTATTTAAATACATTTCTTGTGTTTCCTTTAATTTTTCTTTCTATTTTTGTGTCAGTTCAGTAAAATATTGAGAAGGTCCAATATATTTTGTCAGAAGAGGGTTATTACATGAGCTTTTAAGGGATCATATGCATATATATTTCTGCCCTTAGTTAGATGAGGAAGCAATGGAACATCTGGGAAATGATGCATAGACCGAAACAGTGAACATAGATTTTGTATGTCAGATGTAACATCATACGTTGAAAAGTAATGTTATTTAACACGTATTTAACACAAGTCTAAGTACGTTGATCATGTCACTAAAAGTGAAATTATAAGAAAGTTAAAAATGTCCCCGGGACATAACTCAATGATGCAAAGGATATGAATTAGATGGTTTTAGCTTTGTTGTCAGTTACAATGTGAGAGTTCGATTCCTGAAATATGAAATTGAACTCTTTGTGAGCACCAATGTATGGACAAACTCTTATTCTCTGGCCTGTTGAGGCATATCTCGCGATTTACCTCCCTCACGATGCTTCATGGATGGGGCAGTGGGGGCTCTCAAGGTTGAAATTCAACCTTTTATAAAAAAAGTTAAAATGATAGGGGTTTTGAATCACCTAGTTTTCGACACTTTCGAGTGGCTAGCTTTCCATGTTTAAATTTCATTACAATTTATTTCAATAAACATGTCTGTTAAAAATCCTTTGTTTTCAGCAAAAATGGTTGATTTGAGCATGTAATGTTTCAAATCCAAAAAAAGGGTTTACTTGTATGAATTTTGGAATGACATTGACATTTTGTAATCAAGAAAAAATTCCCATCGAGTGCTAAAGTTTGAAAGTTAAAACCTAACAATCATACATGTTGAACTTGATTTTTATAAGGGTGATGTGGCCAACAGATTCCAACTAATCCAACGTCCACGTAAGTTTATATGATGCACACTGAAGCAACCCTTTAGGGCCTATGACCAAACTCCACTAGTGGAGGAGGCAGTCATAGACGCTCTAATGGTCAAGTTAATACGAGAGAATATCATGATTACAAGCTATGCAAGTGGCTCGGAACTAGGTGTTTGATATAGGATAATAGTGAATATTATAGTTTGAGAGCTTAAACTTATATTATTTTCTGCAATGATACAAGGTTTGAACTTCTATAGTAGAAGGTAATAAATATGAGCCATTGGATATATATACACTTGGTTCCATCCTGGTAGTGGAGCTCTCTTGTCCGATCTAAATCAGTTGTTTTAGAGTCATGCCGAATTGAGTGTTGTGGTGGTGTTGCAGGCCTGTGTCTTACGTGTAAACTAGAATTGAATTGTTTGATTGAGTGAAGTTGCCTATTTAGTGAGTTGTCAAATTGTCCATTTGCAACAAGATTATGTAAATGTTCTTTATCAGGTCTGCTAATCTCTTCAGTACGGTGGTTCAATCGTCTCATGTGTTTGGACAATTAATGGCTCGACACTCATCAAATCGAACAAATTGTTTCGTCTTCCTCTGTCGTCTCACCTGTGGTTTAACAAGCTTCTATCACTTGGTTTTAGACGGAGCCTCATTGACGAGGTGTAACAATACGTTTAAAAGAAAACGATTCTAACCTAAATAAAACATTGGATAGTCTCTCTGTGCTTGTTTGTGCCTCATTACTTGTGTATAATGTATTATGAAATAGTGATTAATGTTGAAATGTGTGGTTAGAAAAGAAAGAAAAGTTGTTGATTTACGTATAATATTATTTTAATAAAAAATGTGTAATTGAAAATAAGTACTGCAGAAAAAATAATGTGGTCGAATGTTAAAAAAATGATAGACAAACAAAGCAATAATATCTCCAAATTTCAACCAATGGTGAAACTACGAATCAATCACGTGTGGAACATTACCCGTTAAATCTGGATCAACCTACCTAGGGAATAGGCGAGCCTGTGGCCTTGTAATCTGAAGAATTTGTATACTTAAATGGATAGTCCTATTCGTCAAAAATTTTCCCATATTCATGGCTTCCGATTCATGACCCCCACCAGCTTTAAATGTTGCTCTGACAGTCACCTCACGAGGAGGGAACTTCGGCCTTTGGAAAATTTTAAAATAATATATATCTAAAGGGAAAAGTTGGGCGGGGGGAGGGGGAGAAGAAGGTAATATAGGAGACTTCAAGTGTATAGTCCAGTGGTGCAAATGATAGGAGTGAGAATATCTCACGCCTTGCTGACGACAATCACAGTGTGGGAGTTCAGTTCCCGAGACATGAAATTGGATTTCTTGTAGACGTAGTGTACATGCAACTCTTGTTTCCTGACTTGTTGGGACACAACCTGAGATTTACCGCCCTCACAAAACTCTAGGAGCAGGACGGTGAGAACCCTCAAGATTGAGGTTCAATCTTTTTAATAATAATGCTATTTGAATATTCAAATTGTACATTATTGTTGATATTGTATGGCATGTGAAAGATCTAATTATTGATTTAAATAATTGTAATTCCAATAAATGACCAGATTGTTGTTTGAATGATAAGTTTTTAAAAAATATCCTAAAGTTAAATTTGGAATTTCAAAGAAAAAACATAATGTGTAATATGTGTTGGTTTGAGTTTTTAAATTTTTTTGTCACCACCATAAAGCAAAGACGTGTTATATATAATGAAAAATGTTGAAAATGACATGTGAAAGTCTAATTACCCTTTTTCAAAAAAATAATAAATACATAAATAATGAATTAATGTATAGCCGAGATAACATGGCAGCAGGTGCACGTAGTTTAAAGCCCATAGTAACTTAGCTTCTCTGAAAGGTCATCTTTTTCGACCCACTTCGTGCCGCAAAATTCACCTTCTCATCAATCGAAATCTCCTTGTAACAGCTCCTCGAGGCATAATTCAGTGGTACAAAGGACAAGAGTAAGGTAGTCTCAACTTTGCTGGCAGCCGCAGTGTGAGGGTTCAATTCCTGAAATATGGAATTGGACTTTTTGTGGGCACCAGTGTACGAACAAGTTTTTGTTCCCTGACCTGTTGGGCACATTCCGCGATTTATCTCCCTCACGATACTATAAAGACGAAACGGTGAAAGCCCTCGAGATTGGGGTTCAACCTTTTTTTTTGAAAATCTTCTTGTAACAATTTCACAAACCAAGACATATTAAAAGCTCAGCAATTTTCAAGGCAGCTGCATTTATTGTACTTGCATCTACGATTAGTCACAAGTCCAACAAGAAAAAACTTCAGGTTATCGATCAATATATGTGCATGCCAGTTTCTTATCAAATGATGACATTTTTGCAGTGCATTACATGGTAGTAAATGAACTATTTTCCATATTAAATAATTTAATCTTTATTTAAGGGAATCGAAATACTTGAGAAAGGAAAAGCAAGCGAAAAAATGACATTATACACTTTGCATCAAAATGGTGCAAAGTTTGGTGCCACATTGAAGGAAATTTTCACCGAAATTTGGTGTATTTTGGTAAAATGGTGCATACATTGGATATGCTCTTACTATCTTAAAATGTGCATAAACCTACTTTTTAGATAGAATATTTATTGGTTATCTAACGAATCCACATTCCTCCCTTCGAGGGAATTTACTAATGGAATGTCGTAGATCGCTAGCTTCATCATTTCACAATGGGTTAATCCAATTTTCAGCGAGGATGGCAGTGGGGCGATGGCGGGGCGTGCGAGGCTTGCCCTGTTTCCTGCCCCCTTTTTTCCTTTCAAAATATATCAATACCGATTCGACCCAATCTCTCTTAGTTCAATAAAATACAAATAGTACTCAAATTAACAAAGTTAATATCCAAAATAAACACTCAAAAGTCGAAACAAACACTGTCCAAAAAGAAACAATTGCAATTAAAATTACATTGTCATTGTGACATTGTAACTAAATTTCGGTTTTTAACATTGTTACATAGACTTTTGATATAGATGATGAAATTATTTTCACGGGGACTTGTAACACTTTTCATATAGATGATGAATTAAATCAAAACATAGTGATGAAAGAACATTGAAGCCATAATTGCAATTTTGAGCGAAGATTGAGGACTTTTAGTACAATTTAAAAGTGATACAACTAAAATAAATTGAAGTATTGATGTAGCCGCGGATAAATATTGGATTAATTCCACAACTACAAATATTTAGGGGAGCCAAATTCAAAAATTAGTGAGCTTCAAATCTATTTATTTTTGTTGCAGTCTATGCAAATTTTTTTCCTTGGACTTGTTTAGCGTTGCTTCCAAGCGTAATTGCAGATAATCATGGGATACACCATTTCCGATCCATACAAGATTGATTAATGAACAAGCAAGTTTGTGTTGTCTGAATCA